AAAAAATCTATTAGCTTTCAATTCCATTTTTCCATGAGCTTCTTGATGAACTCTTGTTCTTGGCCCTGAAATAAGACTTCTAGAGTAACTTAACCTTAAACTGAGTTTAAGTCAAATTTAATTTGTTAAATAAAATTCTTCAAGGAATGAATTCAGTCTTTAGATGCAATGAGCAAAGTTGCTGAGAGAAAATTAAATGGTTAGAGAGCGTGTTGGTTTTACATTTGAAATTGATCCTTCTGGTTCCGGTGTATCCACAACGACTTCCGGTCATCTCTCCCACAGTCCGGCTGCTGTTCATTTTTGCTGTTGTGCCACTCTCTGTTCTACGATCCATGCTGTCCAAAGTGGTCAGTTCTACAGAGCAAGGTAAGCCCCATTTGCTTAAGGAATTTGGTGAATCTACAGTCTGTCCCCACACAGATCTGTGTATGATCCATGTTTCATTCCGGAGGCTATTCTGTGCCCCTTTTCTTGAGTGGGCTCCTTCTGAATTTAGTGGTAGCTCTAGGATAAGGGTTCATCCTGCCCCAGGAGGAGGACTAAGAGGAGAAACCCACTGGAAACTCACAACCCCCCTCTTCTCCAGAACTACACTCTGGCATCCTGAGCCCCCACAACTCCACACCATTTCAGGTTTTTTCCCATGAGTGCCTGGGAACCTTTTCCTTGGACCTTTCACCGTGCCTCGGAACCGCTCTATAGACAGTCTAACCTGAACTTGGACTTGTAGAATGGGCTGTCTACATTCAGAGGTAAAAGACCTTTTCTGAGCAGACTGGAACATGGCATAGAGCAGAAAGGGGTGAGCTACAGCCTGGGAAAAAGGGGCCAAGGGGCCATCCAGAACATTTGTGTTCCTCAGAGTTATAGTTGAGAATTCTTTATGAACATTATGAAAGTGTATTTTTCAAGGGAAGGAGCTCTGGTAGTGCTGTGGAATGGATGTTGGGCTGCTAACCTAACATCTAGTAGGTGGTTCAAACCCACCAGCCACTCTGCAGATGACAGATGAAGCTGTCTGCTCCCATAGAGATAGATGGATAGTATCAGAAACCCTTTACAGGGTCAATATGAGTCGGAATCAAGACAGGGAGACTGAACATGTTTTAGTTAACAGTTTTGTTAGGTAAAGTGGTAATCTTTAAGCTCTTAGACTATAATATGTAGATTTCCATTCTATTTTCACCGTCAAGGTTAATTGCTGATAAGTGCCATCGGGTCAGTTCCGACTCATAGCGACCCTATATAGGGTTTCCAAGGAGCGGCTGCTAGATTTGAAACACTGACCTTGTGGTCCAGTACTTATCCTATAGCACCGCCCCAGGACTCCTCATCAAGGGTGGTTATTGGTAGGTGCCACTGAGTCAGTTCTGACTCGTAGAGACCTGCATAGGCTTTCCAAGGAGCGGCTGGTGGGTTTGAACCACTGACCGTGTAGTCTGCAGTCCTGTGCTGATCCTACAGCACCACAGAGTTGGGCCCAAATCAGGATCCCAGCAGGAAATGGATCCCAGCCCATTGTTTCAAAGACAGAGATGTTGACATGACAAGGAGGTGGGACAGGGTTAAGAAAACCAACCCGGGCTGTTGAGCACCGCCCCACCCCTCCACCCCCAACCGCAAGGGTTGGTCAAAAAGGGAAGTAGCAGAGCAGCATTGCCACATCTTTCCTCCACCTCCTTCCCAGTGGTCAAATGCACCAGGCTGCTGGACCTCAGGGAAGTACAAGTTAGATGTTGATTCTTATCAAATCGTTCCATAGCCTTTCCGAGGTTGTGCATCCTTATGGAAGCAGACAGCCTCATCTTTCTCCCTCAGAGCAGCTGGCAGGTTTGAACCACAGAACTCTTGGTTAAGCTGATGCTTAATCCATTGCATCAGCAGGAGGAAATAAAGATGACTTTTCTAGTGGGCACTAGCTTTTGGTTAGGCATGTTGGGAATTCCTTGGTCTCCCTTTCATACTATATGAATATAAAAACACATGTTAACATAGAATGTCCCAAGTAAAGCTTAATCATCACATTGGCTAGTCATCTTAGCCCAGACACCTAGTAATGGATAAACATGAGGGGATTTGAGTTCTGGTGTACCGCTGTAGAACCAGCACTGGACTGGTAACCGCAAGGTCAACAGTTCAAACTACCAGCTGCTCTGAGAAACCCTATACAGGTTGGAACTGACAACAAAGCACATGACATAAGGTAAATTACCTGTACAATCAAATATAATTTGACAGCAAAAGAGGAGGAAGTACTGATATGTTCTACAATGTGGGTGAACCTCAAAATCATTATTCTAAATCAAAGAAGCCAGACACAAAATGTCACGCATTGTATAATTCCATTAATGTTAAATATTTAGAGTAGACACATCCATAGATGCAGAAAATAGGTCACCAGGGGCTGGGGTGAGGGGTAGTGACTGCTGATGGGTACGAATTGCCTTTGGTTGAGATGAAGCTGTTCTAAACTTAGAAAGTTGTGATGTTTGCATACCACAAATTCTGAACACGTCAGTTCTGAGTCATAGCAACCGGGTGTCGGGTTTCCGAGGAGCAGCTGGTGGATTCTAACTGCCAACCTTGTGGTTCAATGTCCACTGCTGATCCACACCAGGAGTCCACAGTGCCACAATAAGAGGGGTTTCAAAAAGCTCATGGAAAAATGGGATTAAAAGATAATGTTACCGGGGAGCCATCAAGGCAAGCAATCAAGTCCCTTTAGGACAAACCCCCCTCCAAAACTGAAACTCAAAACATGAGCAGGCATGTAAGCTTGCTGGTAACCACATTGGTCTACTGGTGAGTGGAAGAGGGGGAAAGGCAGCAATGAAGAAATGGGCTGAGTTCAACCACGTTCTATAGACTCCTGTTGACCTGGAGATGAGAGAGAGAAGAGGAAGGGCTGGTTGGTCCAAAGTGTGGTGAGACCTGTGGACACCTGAGCCCACGGACAAGGACATAACCATAGAGGGCTAGAGCCGACAGTGAAGCATCCCGCTGATATGAATTGAGGGGACATGCACACAAATGCCCAAACTTGCAGACAGTATCCATTTGACCTAGCTTTGATGGTTAGTGATCAGAACTTAACTAGAGGAAGATAAAAAAAATTTTTTTGATGAAGTAAACAAGTGTAAATTGCTACAATTTGAGGAACTGGACCTATATTTATGGATGTGGTAGCTCAAAATTCCAACTGAGAGGGAAGGGATCTTCACATCAGGTATCAATGCTATCCCCTCTGTACACAGGGTTGATAGGAATCGGGCAACATAGACATTGACTACCTAAAATGAGGGGGCAATAAAAGCACGAAATGACTGACTTACAAGGTTTCAAGAGGGAGTTTAGTTTCAGAGTGTGTGGGGGTGGGGAGAGATAGAACACTCCATTGAATAGTTTTCATCTTGTCCAGACGGGTCTGGTGAAAGGACATGGGGATAAGATTCTTGTGATTCAATGTTGTTGTTGTTGTTGTTAAGTGCCATCGAGTCGGTTCCGACCCATAGTGACCCTGTACAGGGTTTCCGAGGGTGTAAATCTTTACAAAAGTAGAAAGCCTCATCTTTCTCCCGCGGAACGGCTGGTAGTTTTGAACTGCTGACCTTGCGGCTCGCAGCCCGATTCGGTACCACTACGCTACTAGAGCTCACTGTGATTCAATAGTGAGTAATTATTATCAAGACTAATTGCGATTGTCACAACTATAAAGATAGAAGTTTTGTAACATAAAGGGGGGAACAGTTAATCTTACAGCCCAGAAACAGAGGACCCTAGGACCATCAAGGGAGAAGAACAGGAGCAGAATGTGGGACCCTATCCAGAGAAGCAGAGATAAGGACATGGAGAGAGAGAGAGCAGGTGAAGACTCTGGACTCATGGAAAGAGAAAGGCTGTGTGCTGGCAGCCAGGAGGCAGGATTGCAGATTGTGCGTTTTGGTTGTTTAAATGATTTTATATGCCTGAGTGTTTTTGTGTACATTCAAAAAAAAGAAGATCGTGGGATTTTTCCATGAAATTTTGAAGCTCCAACACAACATATACTTTAAAGTCGTGATTTTGGGACCTGGAGACTTGGAATCGTAGTCTCAGGTACACCAAGATCAAGTGACATCACACAGTCCACAAAGAAATGTGCTGCATCTGACTTTGGTGAATAGCAATTGGGGTCTTCTTTTGAGAGGCCATATAAGGTGCAACTAAGGTCTCTCCCCATCTGGAGCAAAGAAGAGCGAAGACAATGAAAGGTGCAGGAAACAGTTCATCCAAAAGGCTAACGGACCACCTGAACCTCAGCCTGCATGACCCTGAGACCAGAAGAACTAGATGGTGCCCAGCTGTCAGTACTGAGCAGTCTGCCCAGAACCTTTGCAATAGAAGGCTCTAGATAGAGTGGGAGAAAAGTACAAAAAATCATTAAAAAGATCAAGTTTACTGATCAGACAGAGGCTGGTGGCACTCCCGAGACTATGGCCCTTGGTCATTTGTCAGGTCTGCAATGGTTCAACTTTCCAGTAAACAACAGACAGACCTAGAGGGTGTACAAAAACACCAGGGACATATGCACGCCCTGTTGTTGTTGCTAAGTGCCATCGAGTTGATTCCAAGTTGTAGTGACCCTGTAGAGGGTTTCCAAGGAGCAGCTGGTGAGCTTGAACCACCGACCTTGCAATTCAAACAGCTTTGCAGTCTGGCGCATTAACCCACAGCGCCATACCAGGAAGGACTCCAAGCACGCCCTAGGATAATCAAAACATGAGCTCCAGAGGGTAGCATTTACCCAGGGAGAAATCTCCAAAGGCAGGAAGGGATCCAAGAGAAGGACGAGTAGCTACGGAAAGCGCAGAGAGGAAGCAGAAAACGTGGTGTTACACGATGCAGCCAGTGCCATGAAACAGCTGATTAAAATCAATCTGCTCTGTAATTTTTTACTGAAATCATAATAAAAAGTCTCAAAAAAAAAATAATAATTAGGAGTTGAGAGTATAGGAAAGCGTGTATTACAAATGAATACACAGCTTAATGTCATGACTAGAGAAGTTATTGACTAATGCCCACAGAAAGAATGGTTAATCTAATGAATAATGGTCCTGTTCACACTTTTATTGTCAAAGTTAGTAATTGCCTTAAAATAGCCATAAAAATAAGTTTGAAAGTAAAAAAAAAAAAGAGTTTAGGAAAACATTCAACGAGGTGGGGGAGTGACTTTTATGATATGTGAATTCTGTCTCAATAAAACTTTTATTATTTAAAAAAAACAATTAATTTGACTTGAGGCTATAATAAGGCTTGCAAGAATGCATATTTTAGTTTTGTTTACCATTGGCTTTGTTTACTTATAAAAGCTTTAAAAAGGCCATTTCATTTTTGTTGTTGTTGGAAGCCATCCAGTCGTTCTGATTCTGGCAACTCTGAAACAAGTGTAACTGCTCAGAGAAGATCCGTCATCCATCAGAGGGAGCGGGTTCATAATCGTTGTCTTGTGGGTGGCAGAGCAGATGGTGTGTGGTCAGGAAGAGGTTCCCCTCAGGAATGGATTTAAGCCTTTGCACAAGAGGACGGAGCCCTATGCGGTCTGTCCTCCACAAGGAAACGGTTGTAACAAGGGATCCAGATGTAAAATGATGACTCTGTTAGACAAGAGGGAAGGCTTGCTTTCAATCAAACTGATTGAAGTATGGCCAAAAATTACAAAGGAAGGACAACTGTACTTGATGGTTGATAATTGGGTTGTTGAATTAAGCTGCTATTCATTCATTTGACAAATATGTATTAAATGCCTACCACGGAGTATAGGTGTCCGGGTGTGGTACTGTAGGATCAGCAAGGAACTGCTCGCTCACCAGCCACTTCTAGGATCGCTATGAGTTGGAACCAACATGTGCTAGGAGCCTTGGTGGTGTAGTGGTTAAAGCACAAGGCTGGTAACTGAAAGGTTGGCGTTTTGAACTCACCAGTCGCTCTGTGGAGAAAGATGAAACAGTGTGCTCCTTAAAGATGACCACCTAGGAACCCTCTGGGGCAGTTCTGCTCTGTTCTATAAAGTCACTGAGTCAGAATCGACTGGATGGCAGAGCTAGGATAATTAGCCCCCTGGGGATAACGCAGTACCAAAGCTGATGTGCACTTGGCATTGGTATTGTACTCAAAGAATACACATGAGGGACCAAGCAGTATGTTGCAGAGAACAACTCGGGCCTCACAAATGGATATCCCATAGTGCAAGCATGCAAAGCAGCATATGAGGCTACATGTAACAGAACAGGGGCGATTAACAGATGTCAGCTGTGTACACCAGCAACCATCCATAGGTGGAGCCTTGATCAAAAGGAAGAAAACTGTGGAATGCAACTTTAAATTCTCATGGAAACCAGACTTACTGGATCCATGGAGACTGAGGGAGCCCATGGATCGATGGCCTGGAAACCATTATTTCAATTTTGAACTAAAACTATTCCAGGAAGTCATTTTTAAACGACATAACGGTTTAGTTCAGTTAACAAAGACTGTTTGCCTTGATGACTGACCTCGTTTAAAAACCGTCTCTCTGAGATTAAGCTGGCAACGTAAGGTGAAGGTGAGAACCTCCAGGGGCCGAGGGGCTAAGGTAATGGAAGTGGCCATGAGAACGGTGAAACGGGGTGAAGATCGGCACCTTGATCATTGAACTGCACCTGCAAACGCAGTAGAAAGGGTGTGTGTGTTTTGTTTTCTTTGTGGGGCAGCAGAGTCTTAGTTGTTCAGTCATTAGCCCATGGGGCAGTCAGCTGCCGACTCATGACAACTGCAGGTACAATGGAACGGAAGGCCGCCCTGCCCTGCGCCATCCCCTCGATCAGCTCTGGATCGACCATTATGATCCTCAAGGTCTGCCCTGGCTGGTTTCGGAAGTCGATTACTAGGCCGTTCTTCCAAGGGTGTATGTTTTCACTAAACTGTTCTTTTTTTTAATGAATGCCCAGTCTAAAAGATGAAAACCATGGATACAGTTTGAATGTAGATATCTAACTATGGTATTGGCCAAAAAATGTTGAAAATACCATGTACAGCCAGAAGCCAACAAGCAAATGTCTGTTGGAAGAAGTATAGCCAGACTTCCTCTCATACTTTGGACATAGTGTCAGGAGGGACCAGTCCCTGGAGAAAGACATCATGCCAGATGAAGAAGAGGGTCAGAGAGAAAGAGGAAGCCCCTTAATGAGATGGACTGACACAGAGGCAGCAATGGGCCCAAGTGGAGCAGAAATTGTGAGGTTGCCGCAGAACGAGGGTGCTATGGGTCAGAACTGACTGGACAGCACTTCATCACAGCAAAGATTTACAACCTCAGACACTCTAGGAGTTGGAACTGACTCTGGAGCATACAACCACCACCACCAGTGAATCCTGGAAGGAGCCCAAGTTGCGTTGTTGTTGTTGTTGTTGTTAAGTGCCGTCCAGTCCATTCTGACCCATAGCGACCCTGTATAGGGTTTCCGAGGAGCAGCTGGTGAGTTTGAACCGTCGACCTTGAAGTTCAAATGGCTTTGCAGTCTGGCACATTAACCCACAGCACCATACCAGGATGCCATTGCTAGCCACAAAATTAGCAGTTCAAATCTACCAGTCGCTTCGAAGGAGAAAGGTGAAGGTTTCTGCTCCCGTAAAGATTCACAGCCTCAGAAACCCTGTACAGGGTCGCTGTGAGTTAGAACCGACTCAATGGCACATAACCACCACCAGCACCAAAACATATGGTAGTTTCTTAAGGAGCCAAACAGAGTGGATGGAATCTTCCGATGGCAGACTCTTCTGGTATCAGTTTGGAGGGAGGGACAGGGTTCACATTGCAACATGCATGATAAAGAGCCTATGATCCTTCAGCCAGAGCCAAGGAAAGGGCTGAGTCTGACAGATTAGCGTGGGGGGTGGCAGAGAGGGAGGTTAGTTCTGGCAGGTCTGCAGGGACACCCCAGTGTTCAAATGGCTTCCTGCTGCCCTTTAGGGCTGCCCGCATGCTCACTGGTACTCAAGCTTGCTCATGTTTCACCATTTCCTATGGGGTCCCAAAACTTTATATTAAAATGTATTTTTATTGTAGTAAAACAGATATAACGCAACATTTGCCCTTTTTCCCATTCTTCTTAAAATTTTTAAAAATTCACTTTTTTTACTGTGAATTGAGTGAAGGTTTACAGAACACAGCATCAGTTTTATACTCAACGTATCACACACTTGGTTTCATTTCAGTGATCACAAACCCCTCGGTGTAACATCCCCTGTCCCAATTTCTACCTGAGGTACCTGTTTCCCTTCCTCCTGCTTTCTCCGCCCATCTAGGTTTTGTCCTTGGGTAAATGATAGCTTTTGGATCTCCAATGGATGACTATTCAGTGGGGTTCCTTCCTCACTAGTATCATTGTTCCCCACTCCCATATACCTAGCTACTGCTTGGCTGAACATTGAGCCCAAGGGGGGAGTTCAGTTCTAGATCTGAAGTGTGACCAAGGGCTGTGGTCTCAGGGATCCACCTATCTATTCAAACAGTATACCCGGCCTTTAAATTATATATATATATATATATATATATATTGATGTTGTTGTTAAGTGCCGTCGAGTCGATTCCGACCCATAGCGACCTTGTATAGGGTTTCCAAGGAGCAGCTGGTGAGCTTGAACCACTGTCCTTACAGTTCAAATGGCTTTGCAGTCTGGTGCATCAGCCCAAAGCGCCTCACCAGGACTCTCTGTCTCTCTTTCTGTCTCTCTCTCTCTCTCTCTCTCTCTATATATATATATATATAGAGAGAGAGAGAGAGAGAGAGAGAGTTGTTTGTTGTTGTTAAGTACCGTGGAGTAGGTTCTGATTCATAGTGACCCTGCACAGGGTTTCCGAGGCTGTAAATCTTTACAGGAGCAGAAAGCCTCCTCTTTTCTCCCACAGAGCAGCTGGTAGTTTCAAACTGCTGACCTTGAGGTTAGCAATCCTATTCGTAACCACTACGTTACCAGAGCTCCTTATATAATTGTTTATAGAGTGTAGAAATTTTTCATTTTTCTTAATTCCACTTCTCCCAAAATTTTTTGAAACCCCTCGAGGAACCCCAGTGTGGCACTGTGGGTTAATGTGCCAGACTGCAAAGTTGTTTGAACTGCAAGGTCGGTAGTTCAAGCTCACCAGCTACTCCTTGGAAGCCCTATTCAGGGTCGGTATGGGTCAGAATCGACTAGACGGCACTTAACAACAACAACAATCTTACAATGGAGTCCTGGTATGACGCTGTAGGTTAATGCGCCAGACTGCAAAGTTGTTTGAACTGCAAGGTTGATGGTTCAAGCTCACCAGCTGCTCCTTGGAAACCCTATTCAGGGTCGCTATGGGTCGGAATCAACTCGACGGCACTCAACAACAACAACAACACACACAGCAGAACACACACCAGTCAATCTAACAGTTCCTGCCTACACAATACTATGACATTGGCAACATTCACTGAATTGTGTGGCCACCTCACTCCTATCATCCGATTGGTCCCGCTGACATGAACAGACTCACTGGTCCTAAATCTCCTACCTGATCTTTCCAGTTGCTGTACTCAGTTTGATCCCACAGTGGTGGTGGTGGTGGTGGCGTGCCGTGGAGTCGGTTTCAACTCACAGCAACCCTGTATAGGGGTTTCCGAGCCTGTAAATCTTCACAGGAGCGGAAAGCCTCATTGTTCTCCTGTGGAGTGACTGGCAGATTCGAACTGCTGACCTTGCAGTTAGCAGCCCAGCTCATAGCCCACGAGGTTCCTCCAGTCTCTTTCTAACCAATAAGTCCGCTCTATTTTTTGTTTTTTGAGTTTTGTTCCACATTTTCTGTGCCTCTATCGGGGACCCTCTAATGTGATCTCTTTTTAGAGCAGTTGGTGGTGGTAGCCAGGCAGTGGGTTTTGGGGTTTAAGAGGAAGCTCCGTACCCCTTAGATAATAATTTCCATTCCTCCTTCCCCCATATACTGGTAAACACTGATATGTTTTATCCCTGTGTCTGTGTCCAGCCGAAGTGTTTCATATGTCAACTCATGCACTGTTTGTGTATTTGTGTCTGAAATGCCCCTCAGTGTCACATGTTCCTGCCTCACCCATGTCATAATATGGATCAAGGAGTACTTTTGACCTCAGTTCCTTCACCTGCAAAATTGGTTACTGACCTTTCTTTGGGTGTCTGTTCACCCAGAAGTGCCCTCGTGTTGGCTGGTTTCAGTGAGGAAGCATTTTCTGCATGAAGGGTTTTGTTGGCTGTTTGGTAACGTTCCCTTGGATTGTTCTCCACAGGAACCCTGTTTGCCTGCATTGCTGTTCTAGAGACACTAGGTGGAGCAGTTGCCATTTCTGCCTATAATGGACTTTACTCAGCCACTGTGGCCTGGTTCCCTGGCTTCACGTTTCTGCTGTCTGCTGCTCTGTTACTGATTCCAGCCATCAGTCTATGGTATGTCCTTCTTTTCAATCCTTTTATCACAGGGCAGCTGGATTAAGTGGATTCCCGAGCCCCGCTGGTAAAAGCACAGAGATTTGTTGAATTTTTGCCTCAGAATGTGTTTTTCTCAAGAATTTTTTTTAGATATGAAAACATCGCTCAAGAGTTGGTGATTTAAGAAGAGACAGTAACACGGCAGGCCAGAAACTAGGTTAGATCGAGACCCCCAAGAAGTTCTTCCCTGCCCCTTTAGATACTAAAATTGATTAAATTACCAATATGGATAAACCAAAACCACACCCACTGATGCAAGTCATTCTGACTCAGAGTAGAATGACCCTATAGAGTTTCCCAGACTGTAAATCGTCACGGGAGCGGACTGACACGTCTGTCTCTGGTTACAGTAATGAAGTGGTAAAGGCGTTATCTTAACGTTTTCAGTTCCAATCCCATTTCCTAACCTGCTTGAGAAAGGCATTCTCGTAGATCTAGCTGATTAAGCATTTCAAACAGGTGCTTTTAACAAACCAGAAATTGTGACTTTTGCCCTCTCTGTTTTGCTAACAGTTAAACTTTGACAGAAGACTAAATTATCTTTTCCGCCCAATCAGACTGCAGTTAGATTCAAGTGGAGTTTTAAATTTACCCCTGGAGTTAACCATTTCGGTTATGTCAGTTTCTCCGTTTTTTCAAAAATTATGCACACAATTTGAATGAATACAACTGGCCAGATTTTACGAAGAGCTCTGGTAGCGTAATGGTTATGAATTGGGCTGCGAACCTTAAGGTCAGCAGTTCAAAACTATCAGCCACTTCGCGGGAGAAAGATGAGACTTTCTACTCTTGTCAAGATTTACAACCTTGGAAACCCTGTACAGGGTTGCTATGGGTTGGAATTGACTTGACGGCACTTAACAACAACAACAACAACAGTGGGTTAAACACTCAGCTGCTAAATGAAAGGCTGGTAGTTCAAACCCACCCAGCAGCCCCTCAGGAGAAAGATCTGGTGATCTGCTCTCTTTAGGGCAGTTCTTTTCTGTCATATGTTGTTGTTGTTGTTGTTAAGTGCCATTGAGTAGATTCTGACTCATAGAGACCCTGTATAGGGTTTCCGAGAAGCAGCTGGTGAGCTTGAACCGCCGACCTTGAGTTCAAACAGCTTTGCAGTCTGGCGCATTAGCCCACAGCGCCACACCAGGACTCCTTTCTGTCATATAGGCTTGCTCTAAGTTGCAATCGATTCAACGGCACTCAACAACAAGAAGGCTGTACACTAAAGAGCTAAACTGAAGATATAAGCAAAAAGAAAATTATGTTTTGTCTCTTGGACTTTCAGGAGCTGCCTGGTGGTGCAGGGGGGTGACCATTGAGTTGCTAAATCAAAGGTTGGCAGTTCTAGCCAACAGAGAAAGATGAGATAGTCTACTCCCATAGACTGACAGCCTCGGAGACACAACTGGGCAGTTCTACTGTGTCCTCTCGCTATGGGTCTGAATCGACTCGATGGCACTTGACAACAACAACAACAACAACTCTGTCCTCTGAGCTTCTGAAAGTCAGAACAGATCTGGCAGCAGTGAGGTGTTGGGCTCCACTTACCAAAAAGCATGAGCCAGCTACATGTGTACAGTGGAGCCAGAGGTGACCTCGAGCACTACTCGTCCGACACCTCCAACCCATGAAGCCCCCGTGTGTGTCAGAGGAGAACTGTGCTCACAGGGTTCTCAGTGGATGATTTTTCATAAGTAGATTCCACTCATGGTGTCCCTGTGTGTGTCAGGAGAACTGTGCTCACAGGGTTCTCAGTGGATAAGTTTTCAGAAGCAGATGACCTGGCCTTTCCTCTGAGGTGCCTTTAGGTAGACTTGAACTTCTGACCTGTTGGTGAGCAGCTTAGTACTCAGGGGTTCCTTAAACATTCTTTAAAAAGCCCCGACTCAACCATGGCTGAAGAGCAACCACAGGTCGAATTGTTCATGAAGGCTGGCAGTGATGGGGCCAAGATTGGGAACTGCCCCTTCTCCCAGAGACTGTTCATGGTGCTCTGGCTCAAGGGAGTCACCTTCAACGTCACCACTGTTGACACCAAGAGGTGGACCGAGACAGTACAGAAGCTGTGCCCAGGTGAGCAACTCCCATTCCTGCTGTATGGCACCGAAGTGCACACAGATACCAACAAGATTGAGGAATTTCTGGAGGCTGTGCTGTGCCCTCCCAGGTATCCAAAGCTGGCCGCTCTGAACCCTGAGTCCAACACAGCTGGACTGGATGTATTTGCCAAATTTTCTGCCTACATCAAGAATTCAAACCCAGCACTCAATGATAATCTGGAGAAAGGGCTCCTGAAAGCCCTGAAGGTTTTGGACAATTATTTGATAGCCCCCCTCCCTGAAGAAGTAGATGAGACCAGTGCCGAGGATGAGGGCATCTCTCAGAGGAAGTTTCTGGATGGCAATGAGCTCACCCTGGCTGACTGTAACCTGTTGCCAAAGCTCCACATTGTGCAGGTTGTATGTAAGAAGTACCGGGGATTCTCCATCCCAGCACAGTTTCGGGGAGTGCATCGGTACTTGCACAATGCATATACTCGGGAAGAATTCGCTTCTACCTGTCCAGATGATGAGGAGATTGAGCTGGCCTATGAGCAAGTTGCGAAAGCCCTCAAATAAGCCCCTCTTTGGGCTCCATCACCTCCCTCTTGTTTCTCTACAAAGGTGGTTTCCAAATGGCTACCCAATGGACATACTTCAAAATGGCCAGTGGGCCCTTGTACAGGGCTGGCTAGGGGGTGAGGGGAAAGGTTGGGAGACCTGAGTGAGATTTTTATTGTGGGGTTGGGTGGGTAGGACAACGTATTTCAGTAATAAAATACAGAATGGAAAAAAAAACAAAACAAATTCTTAAAAAAAAACAAAAAACAAAAAACCCCAATGCCAACAAGTAAGCCTCTACTCACAGCACCCCTGTGTAACAGAGTAGAACTGCCCCAGAGGGTCTCCTAGGCTGTCATCTATTGTGTCACTATATACTTGTATGTACTCTTATAGATCATCCACTCACATCGCCCCCTGGTGTAACAGAGGAGAACTGCCCCACAGGGTTTCCTAGGCTGTCATCTACTGTGTCACAATATACTCATATACTTTTATAGATCATCCACTCACAGCGCCCCCTGGTGTAACAGAGTAGAACTGTCCCACAGGGTTTCCTAGGCTGTCATCTATTATGTCACTATACACTCATATATAGTCTTATAGATCATCCTCTCACAGCGCCCCCTGGTGTAACAGAGTAGAACTGCCCAGAGGGTTTCCCAGGCTGACATCTTTACGGGAGCAGATCACCAGGTCTTTTTCCCACAGAGTACCTGGGTGGGTCCAAACCACCAACCTTAGCAGTTTGAGAACCAGGGCTCCTAAAAGCCCTGTAAGCGGGGAAGAGATGGGTAACTTTTGACATGTCTTGCTTGCTATTGTAGTGTGGTCAGCTGTACCGACTGGAACAGGAGCAGCTACACACTTCTGGTACAAGAAGAATCCGGGGCCGACACCTCCGACAGATGATCCGTTGTGACTTATAAACAACAGCTGAGGTGACGCGTCATGTGCTGTGACTCCTGAAGGTCAATGAACACAATCATCAGCGTTGCCTTCGTCTCCTTGTCCTCTCTGCCAGTGGAGGAGGATGAGAAACAGCTCCCACACTCTGCTTTCCATGGTACTGTGGACTTGGGCCCCTTTACGAATGTCCTGCTTGTTTAGCCAGTCCATAAACCACCTCCAGCTCATCGAAAGAGACAACTGGCCCATGGGCTGGGCTGGGCTGACTTAAGAACACCCGCTGTGGTACGGAGCACCTGGGAGCCAGTTGTCTTAGGTTGTTGGGATCATAGAGGTGTTCAGCACTATTGTTTCTGGAAAACAATTCATGAAGATGTTTCAAAAGCTTTTTAAAAAAATTCCTAGTGTTTGACCTAACAATTCCTTTAGAAGCCTCTCCTGAGGAACAGTAATGTTGTCAAGCATGTATATAGCTAACGAAGCTCAGGATGGCAAAATCATTTTAAATGATCAAAATATCCAACGAACAACCAGGAAACGCAAGCCCATTGTTTCTGAGTCCATTCCAAATCATGTGAGACAGAATAGAACCTCACCCGAACCCTAGGGTTCCTGAGGCTGTAAATCTTTATCAAAGTAAACGGTCTCATCTTTCTCCCACAGAGTGAGCTGGTGGGTTTGAACCTCTGACCCTGTGGTTTGTAACTAAGTGCTTAACCACTGTGCCACCAGGGATCCTCTCTAATACATGGAAGACCAAATCTCAAAATACTTTCTACTTTGGGACTTATAATCATCTCTCTGACTTACTACAGTCTCACATAGAATCTAAGGAGAACTCTTTCCCTCAGTTTCTGTATCTGCAAAATGGGTTACTGTCTTCTCTCTCAGAGATTTTCAGGGTATAACTAAAGAAAATTATGATGCATCACCAATGTGCAAGCAATGAGGGACGTTTTAAATAGCTCTAGAAAATTCTCACCTGTACTTGAAGAATGCTTTATCTTAGTAATATAAAATCCTTAAAAGGAAAGCCCTTTAGAGAGCAGCATTTGTCACTTTTCCTTATATGTTTCATGAATGAAAGACATTGTACTATTTCTCTCTGTAATGCAGGGGTAATTGGAGGGGGAAAAGTTTACAAATAAAGTTTCTAGAGAAGTTTTAAAACTGCTTGAACGGCTAAGTATTATGTAAAGTGACCGCTGTCCGAAGTCTGCATTCATCACTGTGACATTTACTTGGTAATCAGCTGTTGGTTTTCATGCTCAAATGACTGTAGGTTTTGCAAGGTGGTGTCATGTACCTAGGTGACCAGTGGGTGACTCTTCCTCCTTATTACATTTCCTGGACAATCATACCCGGATACACTATGGGACCATCTGGTTCCTTTTCATCGATCGATCCATCCATCTGTCCATTTATCCATCTACCCATCCATCTATCCATCTACCCTCCCATCAATCTACCCACCCATCCATCCATAATCTGCCCATCATCCATCTATCCACCCACTCATCCATCCATCCATCCATTTATCCATCCACCCACCCAACTATCCATCTATCCATCCACCACTTATCCATCTATTCATCCACCCACCCATCAATCTATCTATCCATGCATCCATTATCTGTCCATCCACCCACCCATCCATCCATCCATCCATCCATCTGTCCTCACTAAATAATCCTCATTAAGAATTGTCCAATAAACTGGACAATAAGAATAAAACAAAATGCAAACCCATTGCTGTGGAGTCAACAACAACAACAACAACAAAACAGCCTTTCTGGCCCTGCTGAGACTGGAGGACTCCTAGACTACTGCCCTGAGATACTCCTTAAACCTTGAATCAAAACTAGTCCCTGAGTTCACTGTTGAACAACAGAGTGGCTCACAAAATAAAGAATATCTCCCTTGGCGGGAACACGGGGCTGGGTGTCTTAGCTTCAGTGTGTGTGTGTGTGTGTGTGTGTGTGTGTATGTGTGTGTGTGTGTGTGAACATTTCATTCTTCTTTAGGTGGAAGCTCACACAGCAAATTGGTTTCCCATTCAGTTCATACACAGGTTGTTCTGTGGCCCTGGCTGCCATCCCAACATGTCAACACGTCCCCATTCCCACTGTGCCTCCCCCTTTCCATCCCTCCCTGTGTCCTACTCCTCTTGATCTCTCCAGCTTTGCTGTGGACAGACGTTGTCAGTTTGGTCTCATATAACTGATTGTTTTACACAGCACGTCCAGCACAGGTGTACGTTACTGGGAGTTACCTCATTGTGAAATGCAGTCGAGTTGGTTCCGACTCATAGCGATGCTGTATGGGGTTTTCAAGGAGCAGCTGGTGGCTTTGAACTGCCGACCTTGTGGTTCGCAGGCCAGTGCTGGTCCCACAGTGCCACCAGGAGTCTCAGGGAGTTCCCTGAGTTGTCTGTAACTCTTGTGCATCCCCCTTCGTCCTTTTCTCTAGTGCAGTTGTATGGATCACTCCCTTATATATTGTTTCTCTTCTACTTCACCCACATTGATCCGTGCCTCGCTAGTAATTGTCTAGTTATTTTCAAGGTCTTTCATTACCTAGTGATTGATTTCCCCTCCTCCCTCCCACCCCTGGTAACCATCAAAGAGCACTTTTTCCTGGGTCAAACCTTTCCTTGACGCTGTGTAATAGCAGGCTCATCCAATTGTTGTCCTTTTGTGATTGACTTGTTCACTCAGCACGTCTGCCAGGTTTTCCCATGTTATGAAGTGCTTTGTGGATTCTTCTCTAAATGTTGCATCCACTGATGGGCATTTAGGATGTTTCCTTCTTTCTCTTTGCTGTCATGAATAATGCAGCAAAGAACTTGAATGTATGCAAAAGTGGTACAGAGTCGGTGTCTGACCCCTTCTGATTACACAGGATGGAGAATCAAACTCCCCATCAGTCCAGAGTTGATTCCTATGAGACGGAAGGTCAGACCTGCCTCCACCCTCCAACCTTCCTTATGGATTCTGACACCAGCCATCCCTCCCACCACACTCTACATCTCTGCTGGGTTCAATAATCTGTTGTAATGGCCGCACGGAACTCACAGACGAGACTCACCATCTTAGGGAAGTGATGTGGGTACAACTCAGGATGGGAAACAGATGTAGGCACAGTACTGTCCCGCTCAGCAGTGCCTCCTCTCAGCTGTGCTGCAGACACGTCTCACCCTGGTGCTTGATCTCTCAAACACGTGGCCCCTGGGCCTCTGCCCTGCTGGGGCAAGTGTTACAAAGCTCCTGTGTTACTGTGTGTACGTGCCCAAAAGGCACATTCTGCAAGCCAGCCTCTTGCTCACAAGCACCCAGCCTCACTGGTCCATAGCTCTTCCTGGGCCACTGCCTCTGCTGTGGCTGCTTCTCCACGCGGACATCTCTTCTTTCTGGATGGTCCTGGATCATTGGTTCCTGCTTCAGAGATGACTCCTTTTAAACCTAGCAGGATGGCAACCCTAAGTGATGCCCACATTATAGTCACGTGTACCCCATTTAGGTATGCGTGACATTTGGGAGTCCTGGTGTGGTGCTGTGGATTAATGCGTCATACTGCAAAGCCGTTTGAACTGCAGGGTTCAAACATATTGTCAGGATGGACCAGTTGCTGAGAAGGATATCATATTTGGTAAGGTGGAGGGTCAGAGAAAAAGAGGAAGACCCCCAGAGAGATGGATTGGCAATGTGGCAGCATCAATGGGCTCAAGTGTGGAGACAATTGTGAGGTTGGCCCAGGACCGGGCAGTGTTTCATTCTGTTGTGCATAGGGTCGCTGTGAGTTGGTACCAACTAGATGGCACCTAACAACAACAAATGCAAACATTAGGTGGGAGTTACATAGGCTATGGGACAACAGCCATCATTCACTTATAGCCCAGTGTGTATACTTACCTGCTCATGTGCCAGCTCTTATTCTTCTAAGACTACAAATACTTACTGATGAAGATCAATGCAAATAAAACAAAAATCCTTACCACTGGACCAATAAACAACATTCTATCAATGGAGAAAAGATGGAAGTTGTCAAAGACTTCCTTTTGCTTGGATCTGCAATCAACACTTATGAAATCAGCGGTCAAGAAATCAAAGGATGTATTGCATTAGGCAAATCTGCTGCACAAGACCTCTTTAAAAGTTTGAAGACTAAGGTGTGCCTGACATAAGCTAAGTATTTTCAATTGTATCGTATGCACGTTAAAGTTGGACAATGACTAAGGAAGACTGCAGATGAACTGATGGTGTTGGAGAAGAATAGTCAAAGTACCCTGTACTGCCAAAAGAAAAACCAAATCCGTGTTGGAAGAAGTACAACTAGAATGTTCCTTAGGAACCAAGATGACCAGACTTCAGACTTTGGACGTATTATTCGGAGGGACCAGTCCCTGGAGAATGACTTCATGCTTGGTAAAGTGGAGGGTCAGTGAACAAAGGGAACCCCCACAGTGGCAGCAGCAATGGGCCCAAGTGTCACAATTGTGAGGTTGGTCAGGACCAGGCAGTGTTTTGTTGTGTTTTGCATGAGGTGATGAGTCGGAACCGGGTCGACAGCACCTAACTACAAACTTTATTGAAATTAGCGAGCGGAGAGGAAACAGGAAATCTGCTTAACCAGCCAACAAATGTAGAAGACAATGTCATCATTTTACAGCCTCTCTACCTGCCCGCCCCCATCCCATGATCATGCTCTAATTGATCCTGACCAAGATTTTTAATGACTGCCAACATCTCTGGGTGAAAGGTGTTTGGGGACAGGGTACACATGATTTCACAGATGACTTATTAATTACAAAAGGGATGTTGTACTTTTACAATGGAGAAATTTGGCAGCCAGTACCTATTAACTAAAGCAGCTCTGGTAGCGTAGTGGTTACAAATCGGGCTGCGAACCTTAAGGTCAGCAGTTTGAAACTACCAGCTGTTCGGCGGGTGAAAGATGAGGCTTTCTTCTCCGGAAAAGATTTACAGCCTCGGAAACCCTGTACAGGGTCGCTATGAGTCGGTTCCGGCTCCACGGCACATAACTACCACCACCACCTGTTAACTAGGATTTATGGAGTGGCGCTCTGGATCAGCACTGGATTGCGAACCACTAAGTCAGCAGTTCAAACCCACCAGCTGCTCCTCGGAAACCATATACAGGGTTTCTATGAGTTGGAAGTGACTTGATGGTACACACCAATCTGCTGACCAGTCCCACCTTGGAAACCACTTACAGGGTCACTATGAGTAGGAACTGTCTCTACGGCACACAACAACTTAAATCCATTAACCATTTGCTCCTCTGAAACCCTATACAGGGTTACATGAGTCAAAACCAAACACCAACCTATTAACCAAGTCATCAAAGATAATGTCCCTAGTAAATGTGATAACACACATTATCATCAAGTCGATTCAAACTCAGCAACCCTGTATAGGAGTTTTGAGATGCACTGGCCCGCACGGTCAATTTGAACCACAAGGCTGGCAGTTCAAACCCACCAGCTGCTCCCTGGAAACTCTACACAGGGTCACTATGTGTCAGAACTGACTCCACGGCACTTAGCAACAACAACAACAATCTTTACAGGAACAGTTTCCTAGTTCTTCCAAGAAGCAACTGGTGGGTTTGAACTGCCAACCTTGAGATCAGCAGTTCATTGCTTATCCTACCGAGCCTATGCAACTGCCATTGAAATGCAATAGAAATAGCTTTGTAGACTTGTTGCCAAAAAATGTCTATCCTGAATCTTATGAGAAACTAAGATCATATGTTAACAACCAGTGAATCTATATAAAGGTTGTACGGGTGTTTATATGGGTATAATTCTTTCAGTTTTGCTTGTTTGAAATTTTTCAAAATAAAAGTTGGCGAAAAAACGAATTAATTTGCCTTATGTCTCGCAGCCCAATGCATTTGAGTTACAACAAGGCACACTTAGACCGCCCTTTTTTTGTACATCTCATTAGCAGTATGTTGAGTGTAATTTGCCGATGGTATCATTCTCAGATGTTCCATTTTTGTGTTTTACTGTTGAAAATACTGCTGGATTACAGATACAATAATAATACAAGGCAGACATAATGAAAACTAAAGCTAAAATAAAATCAATAAAAGGAGGTATTAGACTTATGATGGACTGATAACGGAGTCACTGAAACAGAATCCTGTTGTAAGCTAAGAACTGTATTTGTATTTCACACAGAAAATAGAAAATGGAGGTTTGATGTGGAGTTAAAACCAATTCATCTTTTCAAAAGTAAATGATTTTAGGTTCGCGCCTTCAGGGCGACACCACGAGTTGTTAAACGTCTGGTGAGTGGCCACAGGACTTCCACCTGGCCATCACCTGCTCCAACACCAAGAGCCACCGCCACAAGATGGATGACAAGAGCAGTAGCCAGGGTGAGCTCCAGCCCAGGAGTCACACCTCCTGAGGATCCAGGGCTGTGCTGAGTCCATGGTGCATACCTGTCTGTGCCGTGATGCCAACTGCGCACTGGAGAACTGCTGTAAGAAGAAACGGGTGTGGCGGCATGCCAGGGTTTGTAAGCAGAAGACTACAGGTGGCTGCCACATCTGCAAGCAACTCATGGTCCTGTGCCGTTACCATGTCAAACACTGTCAGGAGAACAAATGTCCTGTGCCCTTCTGCCTTAACGTCAAACTCAAGACTCCACCAGTAGCAGATCCAGCACCGCCTGCAGCAGGCCCAGCTCAGGCGCCGCTGGAGGGCAGGATGAGCAGCACAACATGCCTCAGCAGAGCCTGCCCAGAAAGCTCCAGGCAGCTCAGCCCTCCTCCCGGTACTAGTTCTAACCTTCCCCTGTGACCGTTCCACCGTCCAACTTCCCCACCTTGGCCCCCACTCAACTCCCACCATGCCAGGTCTGGAGAAACGGAAACAGACAAGGATGTGGACTCGCCTCTGAAGCTTTCAGAAGAAATACAACCCTGCTCACACCTTGATTTTAGCCCCGTAAAAATTATGTCAGTCTTTAGATCTCAGATCTGGAAGGCAATAAATTTGCGGTGTTTTCTGAAGAAAAAAAAAAAAAAAGTAAATGATTTTAGGCAAAAAATAAGACAGAGTTCAGTCTTTCCCTCTACTGTCCTGAAGTCACACCCTCTATGTGGCCAGTGCCTCGGAGATGAACACAGCCTTGTCCTGTCTCCTCCAGGCCAAGACTCTGTAAAGAAGCAAATGCAACCAACAAAGTGTCTCTACTGGTCAAGACACAGGCTCAAGATCTGGAACCAAACTCTTGAGTTTTTTAAGGATTGCTTTTCCAGTTTTAAATGAACAAAATGTAAAGTATTCTTTATGCTCTTTCAGCCAGAGAAATTGATGAAATTCTACTTGAAAAAGTAACAGTGTGCTCATATTCGTTAAATGTGGAAGCATCTATAATAAAGTGATTTAAAAGCATGGGCTTTTCAAGTACTGTTACGCCTGAGGGAACTGGAATTTCAATTCTTAAATCATAAGCTAATGAGTCAGACATAGTATCAGAGCATTTTTGCTTCAGCTTTGTCGAAATAGCCATTTGGTGATCTTGATTAACATATGATAACGGCACTCCATGTGGACAAAGACCTGGTGTGGCGCTGTAGAATATAAACACTGGACTACTAACTGCAAGGTTGGCAGTTCAAAGGCACAAGCCACTTCTTGGGAACCCTTTGCAGGGTCACTGAGTTGGAACCGGCTTGACAGACAGCACTTAACATTTAGTGTGTTGGGTATAACCTTTATCCAATTGTGAATGGCAGTGAAAAATGTGCTTCCTAAGGTTTCCATGTGTGAAAAGTAATCAATCTTTTCAGCTCTTTTCTATTCTTCAGTGACTTCAGGGAAAGGAACAACACAGGGCATAGGGCAGTGTGTGCTGTACTTATGAGCCACTGAAGGAGGGGTCATTTCCAAGAAAGGAAAAGAAATGATAAGAAGAGTGGAGGCACAGGAGGCCGGATACGGTCACTCCAAGCAGAGCACCCCTGGGAGAAACGGAGTAGAGGCATAGGCATGGACCATGCTGGACCAGAATGCTGTGTCTATTAGAACTGTGGTAGTATAGTGGTTATGAATCGGGCTGCGAATCTTAAGGTCAGACGTTCAAAACTACCAGCTGTTCCATGGGAGGAAGATGAGGCTTTCTGCTCCCGTAAAGAATTACAGCCTTGGAAATCCTATGCAGGGTCATTAAGAGTCAGAACCAACTCCACAGCACATAACCACCATTCATTTGCTAGTGCCCTCTAGTGGGCATATTATGAAAAGGAGCCCTGGTGTTGCCGTGGTTGAAACACCTGGCAGCCAACCAAAGGGTCAGCAGTTTGAACCCACTGGCAGTTCCACGGGAGAAAGATGCAGCAGTCGGCTTCTGTAAAGACAACAGTCTTTCCAATTTTTCAGGGCAGTTCTACTCTATCCTAAAAGGTCGCTACGAGCCGGGATTGACTCAATGGCACGCATTTTTCTAGTGGGCATGAAGGGGTAATTCTAGAAGCACGACACACAAGAAATCACATTATTAGTTGAAAAAGAATATATCTAAAATGATGGATAAGCATGCCACCATTGCTTCTGTATTTTCCCATAATTGAAGTACAAAGCAGGTTGGCAAATATGCAGGCAGACTGTTCTCAATGTTATCTGAAGCAAAAGAATGTTCTCTCTAGGTCTGTCAGTCTCCGTAGGTGACAGTGTGATTCTGTTACAAGGGGACAATCTCTGGATAAAGATTTGTAGTGCTTATCACCAAGAACAGCTAAGGAGACAGAAAAGTCTACTGCTTAAGTGCCATGAGAAGCTTTTACCGTCTCTTCCATTGGTGTTTACAACTTACAATATCATAGCTCCCGGTGCATTGTGGGTGTTACAAGATCAGTTTCTCTGTGCACTGTACGTGTTATAAGATCACAGCTTCCCTGTGCCTTATGCGTGTCAAAAGATCACAGCTTCCCTGTGTGTGTTGTGTGTGTTAAAAGATCACAGCTTCCCTGTGCCTTGTGCATGTTATAAGATCACAGCTTCCCTGTGCCTTATGCGTGTTAAAAGATCACAGCTTCCCTGTGCATTGTGGGTGTTTAGCAGCACCCCTGGCCCCTAATCACAGGGTACCAACAGCAACACTGCACAACCTCAATGAAGATGTGACAACCACTATAAAACAGTGTTTTTTAAAGACTGAAACGCTGTGGCACATCACAGTGTAATCAGCGTCATCGGAGGCCTGGTGATGGCTGGGTGACCTTCTGGGTTGCTGACTAGAGGGTCAGCTGTCTGAATTCACCAGCTAATATAAGTAAGGAAGACGAGGCTTTCTGCTTACAACCTCAGAAACCCTATACAGAGTCGCTAAGAGTCAGCACTGACTCGACGGCACAAAAGAACAATGAGTATTAGCTGACTATACAGAAACAGTATCAGGTGTGAACACTGCATTCTGCATTTACCCAGAAGGGCTGCCACTGAAATTCATTACAAATGTTAATTCTGCAAAACAGTACTATGAAGGTTAGATCCAAATACTGCTAACAGCTATTCAGTTAAATTCATGGAACACCTAGAAATGGGCCACAACGGAACCTGTGGAGTTTCATGGTCTTCATTAGCAACATTCTCTTACAGACAGGGCAGGCTACTGTTTCACTATAAATTATTGTTTAGTGCATCTGCATCAGTTCCAACTGACAGCGACCCTGTGTAGTGTTTTCGAGAAGTCGGTTTGAAGTGTTGATCTTGCGGGCTGGTGCTTATCCTACAGAGCCTCTTCAGGAGTTTTCACATGATCCAGACCACGCCCCCAAATGCTTTCAATTGTCATGAGGCTGTAAATGACAGACCCAGATCATTTCAAATAACCACTGACACTATTTAGACAAATGTTCTTATGTGTCCATATTTTTAATGTCGTGTACATTTCACACAGACAAACAACAACTCTGTACAAGACGCAGGCCCTCTGCCTGCACTGCCGGCTGCCCTCGTCACAGCAAACCGAGCTTATACTCCACCATCGAGTGCGGCTCTCCCATCGCTTCACTTTGTGTCGGATCTGGAAAAAAACCACAAACAAACAGACCAATGGTTTTTGTACAAAATCTCTAAGAGACAGAAGAAATCTAAAGGGACAGAAAACCACCAGTGACTGCCAAGGAGGCAGGGTGAGGACACCACCCTCTCCTCCTCCAGTGAGGGAACAGCGGTCACACAGGGCTACCCAGGTGTCATGTCACACACCTGTCCACTTCCAGTGGACGCATTCAACTATTCAACTCTACTCAACAGGGCTTCCAAAGTGCATGGAAGGAAAAGGATACTGGACTTTTCTCATGACATTTTCCAAGTCCCCTCCTGTAAACTACATCTTCATACAGTTAACGTAAAATAATAAATATGTAGGGAAAACATTCTCCTTAGACGCTTCCAGACAACTCCAGGAACAACTTTTAATCTCTTCATCTAATTTGCAAAACCCTTTTGGTGTATATTGTCTTGTGCTCTGTTGTGCACATGTGCGCGCGCGCGCACACACACACACACACACACACACACACACAATCTAGGGCAAGAAAACCTTAAAAACCATTACTCCTTAGTTCTGACAGAGTATAAATAGGATACAAGTTTCATTTTAACTGACAGCTACTCATAAAATAACTTTAACTTTCTTGTCAAACAGTAAAGCTCCCTAAAGACAAAGCCTAACCTGCCCACCCCTACACGAAAGGAGAGAAAAAGGTTGCAGCTGGCCCTTGAACCCTGGGGTCCACTGTGCCCACTACTCCTATGCTGCAGCTGAAAATCCGAGCGGAAGTTACACATGACCCTGGAAAGACAGGTCTGAACTGCGGAACCCACTTACACAGGAATGTTTTCTGTGGCCGATGGGGTGAGCTAAAGTGTTGGGAACATGATATGTGCAGACCACCTCTGAGTGCTGTGTTTCCCACAATAGCTGGGTTGTAAACCCTAAGTCCCTACACCTGCAGATGGAATCCTATATGAGAACAGAACTTTGTGAACAATGCCATATCAGCGTGGGTGGCTCTCAGTCAGTCACCTGAGACAAAAAAGGCTGACTAGGCATGGAGACAGAGCACAAATGGAGAGACGAGCCAGGCCACGGAAGACGGCCAAGGAGCGCTCAGAAGAGAAGGGACATTTCCCAGAGCCCAGAGAGAGAGGAAGCTTCCCCCTGAACTCGGAATTACAGCCTCCAAAACCGTGACTGAGACCTGGTGGTACTGGGGTGTAAGCACTGGTCTGCTAACTGCAAGATCAGCAGTTCAAACCCACCAGCCGCTCCTTGAAAGAAAAGGCCGCTTTCTGCATCAGTAAAGACGTATGGACTTGGAAACCCTGTACGGGGTCGCTGTGAGTTGAAATCAACTCAATGGCAGTGAAGTGCGTCGTCTTTAAACTTTGAGGATAATCAATTTCTGTTTGTGAAAGCCACCCCTTTGTGGTCTTTGTTACAGTGCCACCCTGTGGAGACCTATAGTGGTGCTGTGAGCAAATGAGATTTGTTTCCTATAGGCCTTCCTGACAACTCACCGTGGAGTGAGCTCAAGCTCTCCTGCATCCTGAACAAGTCATGCATTTAAGCTTGGCTCAGATCCCCAACACACTGATCCCTGCTCTCCACGTCAGCTCCATGAGTGCCTGACACACAAGCAGTGCAGTAAGCCTCTGTCTACTCTATCCTTAGAATCACAGCGTAAATGAATGCATGCATCTGTCATTAGTTAAAACAGACAGCTACAAAGGGCGGAAACCAGGCTGAATACCTATCACCTTGCTAATTTCACAAAAGGTCAAAGTGCAATATAAAAGCCAAGGGTACCCTGCATTCCAACACTTCGAGGGAAAAACCCTCTAGAGGTGGCTCACTGGACTGCGTCCACAGCATTTCCGCACCAGACCCCGTGGCCAGGCCTGCTGGGTGTCCTGAGCAGGGCAGAGCTGCGAGCCAGAGGGGAGTTAGCCATCCTCCCCGGGCCCAGCAACTGTCCTTCCTCACAAGTCACTCAGCTCCCGCGGTGGCTGTGAAGTGCAGCCCAGTGAGTCCACCGAGGGTTTCTGAGGAGCAGCTAGTGGGTTTGAACTGCTGACCTTGCAGTTAGTAGTTGTTAAGTGACGTCAAGTCGGTTCTGACTCATAGCAATCCTGTATAGGGTTTCTGAGGAGCGGCTGGTGGGGTTGCAGTTAGCAGTCCAGTGCTTATCCTACAGCGCCACACTGGGAGCCCATAAACAGCGTAGTTTCCTCAGAGCATGCTGGTGAGATGGAGAGATCCTTCGTTCTTACCCACCAGCTACAGAAGCATGTACACACGCACTGGAGGCCCCGGGTGCTCTGAGAGAATGCTTTCATCTGCGCTAGTGGTTTGAAACGTCTTGGACACTGACTCCATGAGCAGGCTCTGAGAGCTGGCCCCCACATCTACCTGACGCTCATCCCCCCCAAGAGAAGACAGAGATGGTCAGCACTGAATGTCACAAGCAGCCTGCACTTCTGAAAACCATGGGACGAGGACAGTGACCTTGATGAGGGAAGCTCTAGGTTTGCTGTCGCCGTGTGAACAGCTGGGGTCGCTTGACACTTACCATTGAGAATGTCTTCAAACCCCACAGTCTCATCGCTGCCCCTCAGAATATCCAGTGAAAGGTTGGAGCTCGGGAGAAACGGAAGACGCTGAGCCTTCGAGAAAAGGAGGAAGAGGCAAGATTAGGGAAAAATCACCAAGAATTATCGGTGTCAAACCTTAACCTTCTATGCTTCTGTGTAAAATTTACAAAAACCCAAATACCACCCCACCTGCCATAGAGTCGGTGACCTGTTGGGAAGTGCCACTGAGTTTGTTCCGACTCATAGTGACCCTATATAGGGTTTCCTCAGGGGAGCAGAAAGCTTCCTCCCTAGGAGTGTCTTGAGGACTAGAAGTACTGACCTTGTGGTTTGCAGCCCAGTGCTTAGCTCACAGCGCCACCAGACATCCTTTTAAATTTAACCAAATTAATGTAACAAAAAAGCCAGTTTACATTCTCAACTCAAACCAGCTTTTAAACATTCCTCTAACTTTCAGCAAGATACACTGTAAGTGCTGTTGAGTTGGTTTAGCAACCCAGTGTATGGGGTTCTGAGGAGCGGCTGGCAGGTTTGAACTGCCAACCTTGTGGTTCACAGTCCAGTGCCGCTGATCCTACAGCACCAGACACTATTTGGGGCTTTGCTACAGCACAAGCCATGCAATAAAATGCCACCTCCCAGGAACTGACACATGCCTCCCACTTCATATGAGGGGGCTTCAAAAAGTTGGTGGAAAAATGGAATGCAAAGAGAATAGAATTTTTCCACCAACTTTTTGAAGGCCTGCTGTCTAGAGGAGAATACACAGTGGTGATGACAAGCCTAGGTTCGAATTCCGCCTTTGTCACTTACAGCCCATACAACTGTGAGAAAGACGGAGAGAACGGCTGATGAAACCAAGGAAAACAGATAAAAAAAATCATGGCAAACCTCAGGAAACCGATAAAGTGAATGAAAAAATGGGAAGCAGACGAAAATGGCAATGAGCAAGCCAGAAGATGAACACCAAGACTTCAGAAACACATAAATGCACCGAAAGAGCACAGGAGGAGAACTGACCCAATGGAAAGTTGACTTACTGAGCTCGAAGACGAAGCTCTCAGGAACAAACAGAGTCCTGGTGTGGAGCTGATTGTTAACCACAAGACTGATGGTTCAAACCCACCAGCCACTCCCTAGAAACCCTATACAGAGTCACTATGAGTCGAAAGCAACTCTATGGCATTTAACAACAGAGAAACAATCAAAGTCTTGCTGTGGCACTGTAGGATTACCACTGGATTGCTAACCACATAAGTGCAAAGTTGGCAGTTCAAACACACTAGCCGCTCCTTGGAAACCCTATGGAGAGCTGCTGTGAGTCAGAATAGGCTCAACAGCACTTTACAAATTTCAGAACAGGAGGAGACCTAAAAAAGTGTCACAGAGAATACTGTCTACGAGTTGTTAGAAGAAAGCTTTCCTAATATAATCCAAACCAACAAGAAGATAGCCACTCAAGAAGTTGAACGAACCCCAAACAGGATAGACCCCAAAAGAAAAATACCAAGACCTCAAGTTCTTAAAACTAAAGACAAGGCAAGAATCCTGAAAGCAGCTCAGTAAGAAGAAAAGGTTACCTACAAAGGAGAATGAATAAGGCTGAGTTCTGATTTCTCAGGAGAAACCACACAGGTGAGAAGACAATAGAATGACATACATAAAAATCTGAAAGACAAAGTGCCAACCTAGAATCACATATCCAGCAAACCTGTCTATCACATATGATGGGGAATTAGTCATTTTCAGACAACAAAGGCTTATTTTACAGCCTACATTAGTCAGGACTCCAGGCCTAGCCTAGATCTAGCCAGAATCCCAGCCTTAACCCTCACTCCCCCCGGGGTCCCGCAAAAATAATTAAATAAATAAAACAAAACGAGCAAATGCGTGGAGGCCAGACAAAAGGGATTTGTGGGTTAAGAACTTTTGGAGAACTGAGATTCAGGCTCAAATGTCAAGCAGGATAATAAGAATTATAATAGCTCTGTGTCAAACACCACGTTTTTCACTGAACCATCAGAATAATCGCCCCACGCCACTCTTAAGGCAAGGGGCCCGACCCTGCAGGGATTCAGTCTCAGAATCGGTAGGGAGCAGGTCTACTCTGTCCCCTTGGGTTATCGAGTCTGTGGCGACTCCAGGGCAGCAGCTTTGGGGGAAAAATTGCTATGTGTTTTGGTGGCACCGTGGTTAAAGTGTGTGGTGATGAATCTGTAAGATTGGTGGTTCAAATCCACTAGCTGCTTTTCAGAGCAATATCTGCTTCCATAAAACCATCCAACCTTGTCAACCCCATGGAGCAATTCTACCGTGTCCCCTAAAGGTTGCTATGCGTCAAAATCAACCGCATTTCTGTTTCGTTCTTTCTGCACTTTCCATTTCACAATAGCACACACACTATAAACCCTAAGTTGAGAGAGGTCTCCAGCCGTTCCATAAAGAATTCTGCACCCTGGTTTACACCCAGCAGCTTTGGCATCCTCAAGGGACAAGCTTCATGTTCATTTGTAATGTAGAGTTTGGGCTGTCGGGTAGATGGGGACAGGGTTCCCAGTGAGATGCTCCTAGGAGCCCATGCTACCCTTGAAGAGTGAGCAGAGGCATGGTTTTGATAGACGCTTCCTCACTTCCTCAGTGCAGCACTGCAGGCCTTTTCTCACCGAGCAGTTTCCTGTGTTCTTGAACCTTCTTCACAATGAGCCCCATGTTTGTGCAGTATCCTTGGAGAAAACTTACCAAGATCACCCCTCTGTAATCCCAAAACACAGCTCCCATAACCTTCTGAGCTGACTGCTGACTTGAATGGACTGGCCCAGCAGGTCCCCTTCGGGCCTTTATTGAAGGGACCCTAACAAGACTAAGACGAGTCTATTCCTGAGAGAACTTGTCTGCAGCTACTCACTGACCAGAGCCCTGAGCACACACACTCTGTTTGGAGTAAACTTGTGTGTGGGGGGGCTCCTTTGACGTTACTGTGTGTCAATCACTACAGAGAGCGTGACCAGGAGGGCAAGCCGAGTGGCGGCTGTGCTGGGAGCATGTCACAGCACGTCAGGTGGACCAATGGCAAAGGCGCCGACAGCTCAAAGACAGGCTGAAAGGAGCTGCCTCGCCGGGATGTGGGGCGGATGCAGTGTTTGTCTGAGCTAGAAGCTGTCCGAATGTGTAAATACTGCTGACGACACCCATCTTGCAGACCACGGCTGTGGAAGACATCACAGATCAAGGGTCTAAGGAAGGACACAGTCCAAGACCTCTTCTTTGAACAAGATGCTTACCCACTTGTATACAACGAGTGCTTACTAGATCCTGAAAACAGCCGAGCACCTGTCCCTCAGGGACGCGGGCACAGCTGCGGGACACACTCACCTGCTGCACGGCCTTGAATTCCATCTGCAACTTCAGAGGAGCGAACAGACCCTGGATGTTTCTCAGGGTGGAGAAGTTCATTTTATCCTGGTTGAGCTGGAACTGCAAGAGGACGATGGGAAACGTCACTGACCGTTGCCCACACAGACAGCACAGAGTCTAACACACACCTGGATGGGGCACTGTCTCAGCCGCACAAATAAAACCAAGTGCCTTTACCAACTTCTCCTAACACATTTCAAACCAGGTCTGTCTTGTTTTATTCAGCGCACATGTCACCAGGATAAAATAACCACGGAAAGTCTGGATCTACAAAATGACTAATGAAGAATTCCTCAGAACATGGCAATGCAGTGTACTGCCTAGTGGACTCCGCCTTGAAGCAGCCACACAGGACAGAGTGGACCTGCCCCAGTTCTAGACAGCAGACCACCAAGTAAGTCTTCCCCCAGAAGGGCCACCAGGTGGATTCAAACCGTCAACCTTTTGGTTAGTGCTTAAGCACCTAACTATTGGGGTGCCAAAACTCCTACCCCACCCCCCTTTTAAGTATGAAAAAAGTGTATTTATTCAGGCATAATCCTAATTTCAGTGATTTTGTTTGAACACGTTTTGTTTAGAATAAACCATGCATGTACGAATGAGACCCTAATGGGTTGCTGACATGCTGGTACAGTGCCCTGAACGGAAGCAGTATTCCAAATCTCAAGGCCAGACAAGCACACAGAAAAGAGATGACATCTTCTCATGATAAAGCCCGAGGTGACAGGGATTCTTCCTGTCAGCAGTCAGTGTCATCTGCTGGTTTCTTCAGAGAAAACAGGCAATGGTAACCCTTGACCCCCGAGGTAGGAAGGCAGGTTTACCTGGTCTCAATGTGTGACTCAGATTCCCAACCTTCACCTCTAGAAATGAGCCCAACTGTGTGACCTGTTCTGTCACCGAGGGACTCACTTAGTTGTCAAAACTCGCCGTCCTGACCAGCTTTCTTCCCAAACCCTGGGGAGCATGCTAGGTCTGTGTTTGAGGGTTAAGCACCACGTTGGTTCTGACTCACAGTGAGCCGGTACAGGCCTTTTGAGGCTGCCAGTTTTGTGGGAGCAGAAAGCCTTTCTCCAGTGGAGCGGCTGGTGGGCTAGAACCACTGACCCTGTGGTTTGCAGTCCAGTGCTTACCCTGCAGAGTCACCATGCTCCCAACTTGCTGGCTATGGCTCTCCTCAAGTCTCTGGACAACACTCAACAGGGTAAGTGTGGGGAGAGCCTCAAGACCCCCACCAAAGGCGCCAGTGAACTGACTTCTCCTTACACAGCACTCTGGGAGCAGTGACCCGCCACCGACACTGTGCCCGAAAGGACTCCCAGCAGCCACAGCCCACCACCTACTCCTAAGGATCCTCTTTTGTCACATAAGCTTTCCTGGCTGACCCACTTGGTAAGTTCACAGAAGAGTGGAGTTGGATTCACTTGTAACGAACTCACTCATCGCTGGCGCTTACCACTCAGTATACTAAAAACCCTCCAAAACCAAGCCCACTGCCTCAAGTCAGTTCCACCCACAGTGGCCTCAGCCATTGACCTCAGAACAGTGTCCAGATGCTATGTCTCCATAGGCAAGCCATGCTCCTCAGTTACATCCCATGAACATCAGGAAGATCGACTCATCTGTAGTCTAAGGGGATTTTCACTTCTCAAAGACCATCAACTACGGCTCTCTGATGACACTCAGATGGCTTCAGCTCTACACCCGGGGTCTTCCCTGTCACATATTCTGTCCCATGGGATGAGGACTGTGGCAGCAGGTCCATGTGTCCCTTAGAAACTCTAAACCACAGGGTTCCACAAACAGGGTGTGGTAGCGGGAGAGTATGGTCAAAGGAAACGAGATCACCAGGACACCAGAGGTAGAGAGAACCGGACTGATCCTCAGAGACAGCCTGCTGTGCTGGACAGTGCTGGACTGCAGACTACAAGGTAAGCTGTTCAAGCCCACCAGTAGATCCTTGGAAACCCTATCAGGGTCACTGTGAGTCCGAACGGACTTGATGGCACTTAACAATATAAAAAAGGAGAGAGGAGGCAATGTGTAGAGAGGGAGCTCTGCGCTGAGACAGTGGAAACGAGGCCGTGCATTCTCCCCGGACATGACCTGAGCCCTGCCCACAGCCATTAAGTGGATTCCAACTCCCAGAACCCCTACGCTGGCATCATGTGCTGTCTAGTCTAGTGGGTTCTGGCTCAGAGCAACCCTGGACAGGGTTTGAACTGCTGACCTTGGAGGTTAGCAGTCAGGTGCTTGACCTGTAGCAGCACCATACCAGGACTCCAAGCACCCCGATGTTGTTGTTGTTGTGACTCCTAGCACCCCGATGTTGTTGTTGTTACACCTCCTAGCACCCTATGTTGTTGTTACACCTCCTAGCACCCCGATGTTGTTGTTGTTACACCTC